TTATTTTATTATAAAAAAATTTACTTCATTTTTTTAATTTTTTTAAAGCCAAAATCTATTTGCATCTTATATATTATTTTTTTTTCAATAATCAACACCCTTAATAATTTTCACTCTAGATCAACTCCCTTCATAATTTGAAACCCACAAAAAACCTCAATTTATCAATAAAATTAGGGTGTAAATAAAGGGTTTGACCATTAATTTTTGAGTTTTTTTGTATAAATTTTAAATTATGAAGGGTATTGACTAGAAATAAAATTTTTAAAAATGTTGATCATGGAAAAAAAATAATACACAAAGTGCAGATAAAGAGTTTAACCTTTTTTAATGTTAATATAAATAAATACATAAATAATTTGAAAAATGAATATTAAGATATTTAATAATAGTCATATAATGAATTTAATAAAATTATAGTCCATACTATACTCCACAAATTTAATAATTATAATTAAATATTCTGACATTTTTAATACTAAAACATTCTGAATTTTTTTTCTAAATAATTTCTATCTTTTTTAATTTAAAAAATATTTTTAAAAAATTACTGTAGGAGAGAAAGAGTAAGACATTCTTGCAGTCTTTCCAATGAGTAGCTTTGTGATTTTGACTCATTGGTTCTGAATTTTTGCAAAAACCAATGTGTGTATATCTTGGTATTTGGTAATGCATAATGGTATGCTCGACCCCAAGGCTTCGGAAAGTGTACAAGTCTCTTTCAAATGTAGTGTGTGAATACGTTTTGAACTACCAATCTGAGCCCATTGTCACGCCGACCACTTTAAAAAGGGAGTAGGTAGAATGTACAAAGGGTTCAGAACCAATATCACCTCTAAGCTTTTGTATATTTTAATATGTTATCTCTTTTAGATAATTAAATCAATCCTTTAATTTTTTTTTTTTATAACATGGTGTAACCAAATTTAGGCTCAACTAATCTCATAAATATCTATAAATTGTGTAGTTCACATTGACCAAGCAAATCTTTGCCTAAAGGTGATGGACAATTAATTGTTCGCACCAAATTGAAAATAAAGAGATTTAAATTTGTGTTTCCAATATAATTTACATCATTTTTTACCATTTGAGTCAACCTAACTTATTAATCCTTCAAGTTAATTCTTTACTAGAGTCTTATTTCCTTATAAGGCCCAAAAAGTTCTTATTCCTAAAGTTTTATTAAAAAAAATTATTTTATAATCTAAGTTATATCAAATTATATCACTTAAACTATTGATGTTCCTCATCAAAGGATTTTTCTTTTATAGTTTAATACAGTTTGGATAATAAAATAGAATTTTCAAGTTTTATTTTCTTAGAAGAGAAAAAAAAAAAGCCTTAAGGAATGTCTA